AACACTGAACACCATGTAAACAATTAATCACAGAATAGAAACTACCAAATGCAAGCCAGTAGTGTGAGAGTTGCATTCACAGCCTTACACTGATCAACAAAGTTGTGTTTATGGCTTCTGATGGATAAAACATTTTAATGGTTTTTGGGTTTTTTCTACTTGATATGTCAGCTTCCTAAACACCTGCATCATCAGGATGTTTGTGAGACCCTACTTCTGGAGGAGACTGAATGCAAATGTTTGTTTTTCTGCAGTGGGATGATCCTTGTATAGAGACAAGAATAATGAGAAATATGATTGCTAAACCTTAGGGTGCAGTGCTGGTGTTCATAATGCATTGTCTCATATGCACACATATAAAACTGTCATAAGGCAAAGGCAACCATTTTGCTTGACAACTTTATCACCATCTCCCACACTCAGTGACACGTGCTAAGCTTCAGGAATTTCATAAAGTGCCAAGGCTTTATTGTTTTAGTGATGAGGCAAAAACTGGTAGTGGGGGTTTCAGTGCCCAGTGTTGTGGAAGGAGCTCTTAGTGCATGAAATAGGTTTCACAGAATGTCATCACACAAACATTGTGCCGCTTACACCATACCTATACTTGGTTTTTCTCGATAGGTAACAATGGTATTTTTTATCAGAGCTGGGGTTACCAGTTGTCACTCCTGATTTTCACCCACCTAAGAAGGCTCTAAGAATCTCTTTCTCCATCTATGGAAATGAAGCGTGTCATAAATTAATTTAATGAGAACAGGACTCTCTCATTGCTATAAACTAATCAAAATTTGCCTGTTTTGCATGCTAAGGACTATCCCTCCAAACTTTGAGAACAAAGCAGGTCTCAGAGAAGCAAGTGTTAGTATTCTCTGAAAATCTCACCTAAAGAGACAGTTGTGGTAATTATTATTTCCTTTCTTACTAAAACTTTATCTTTCTACTGGTGTTAAATAGCTTAACAATAAGGTATTATCTTTTTGCTCTGGGCGAAAGTTGTTTTCATTTTGATATATGTCTCATCACAAAAGTTAATATGTAAACTAGTTATCTTACATTTGGAACTCCAAGGGAAGTTGAACTGATCTTCATTTTGTCTAAAAATTTCTCAAAGGCATGAAAGATTAATCTGTTATTAACATTTGCCTGCAGCTGTTTCTAAAATGCATTAGTTGGTTTCTGGGAAATTAATTAATTCTGAAGGAATGATCAAGTGTTTTTAGCTTTGTGGATTTTATACAGGACTAGGTTCTTATAAAAGTCACGGTATTTCAACAGTAAAGCATTAAAAGGGGCAAGTTCAGAGCAATGCAACTTGACCTTTTCATCTTCCCAGCTCTGTAGAACTCCTAAAAGACTAATTTTCATAAGTCACTAAGTGACTATTACACCATAAAGAGCAGCACTAAATGTGCTAATATTTTTGTTATTTAAACTGTTTTCTCATATTAAAAAGATCCACTTTTTAGAAAGATACTGAAGTCCACATAATAAGTGATTATCAAGGGAGTCAGGACAATCTGCAGGACCTTTTTGTGCCTATTCTGGTTCAATATTCTCTAGTTGGGCATGTCTGTCCCTGACTTTCCTGGCAAGACAAGTTTTTATGCATTTCTGTTGAGACTTCACCCTTCAGACCTCTTCAGAAGTACAGACTATTGCTTTAGAGACACTGAAGTCTCTACCCCAATTTGTATTGTCAATCCCTTCTCAGGGTATTAAAGCCATTCAAAATCCCTGTCTGTAGCACTCTTGTTGTATTCAATGGGACAACTTCACAGAGGCTGCTGCTCCAGAGCAGGGAGCACTAGGAGAGCCTGTGGGGAGAGCAGGGGTGGGGCATTGCTGCTGGGCTCTGGTGCTCTTTGTGGACTCCAGACTCTCTCTGAGAAGTGTGAATTAAAGACCTGTAGTAGTGGATTTGAGTGTTAACACAAAAGGGATGAACGTTCACACTCCCTGCACAGGGCTGTGACATCAAGTACAACATGTAACAGAGGTATGCAGGAAATGTGTGAAGAAAAACTGAGAACTTGTGAAATAGGTGAAAGAGATGGGATGTGCTGCAGTAAGAAACAATCAAGTTTCAATCCTTAAATCAAAATAATTAATAGCACAAATAGCTGTTATTGTATTGATCTGAGGATGTTAAATGGCTCACAAAATGAACGTGAGCCAACAATATCCTGTCATTAAGAAAAAGGCAAGTGTCCCAGTGAGAGTGACAGCAGCAAGAGCTACCAAGGGTATCAAAAACATGACCTGTGGGGACAGAGTTGAGGAACAGGGCTTTAGCTAGAGAAGGAGAAAATGGAGGGGAGACATGAAATTAGTTTTCATCTCTCTGTGTGATATCTGCAAAGAGAAAGTCTGTCTTTTACAGCTGTTCTGCTACTGGGATATAGTAAAACAGGTTTAGCAGGTGAGATATGGGATTAGAAGCCAGGAAAAATTTCTAATGATGGGAATGAATAAATGCCAAAGCAGGATTTTGGGGTTGCTGCTTGTTGTCTTTTCTGAGCCAGCAGAACAGATCACCAGAAATTGCTTCAGGACTTGGTGATCCTACCTTTTGGCACGAGTATGTTTGGCACGAGTATGTTTGACACGAGCTCCTGAGGTCAGTTGCAGCAGTACTGTCTATAATATTATGAACTATGTAAGATGGGAAGGATTGAGTCTGTGCTACCAACTCTGTGTTTGTGGAAAAAGATGGGCATGTACATATATTTGGGGTGTCTCAGTCACCAAAGCTGCAGTAATTGTATCATTATTCCTGTCTCTATATAAGGGCAGTAATTCAGCTTTCCCACTGATTGTTGCCTGCTTTGCTGCCTGGAGAGGTCTGTTGGTCACCCAGAGAAGCCTGCAGCAGGATTTCTGTACACTCAGCCTCTGGCCTGGGGTTTACATTAAAAAACGTGGACTTTTCCTGACATGCAGCTAATGCTGAATAGCAAGGCAGGCTTTTCAGCTTTCTCCCACACCTGCTAAATTATTTCCCGTGCTCTTGCAGGGTCTGTGATGTGAAGCTAATTTCATTATTTACACCGTATCGGCTCTGTAGCAGGAATAGACTTTGGTTCTGAGTTTGCACAGTACCCAGTACAATGGAGCTTCACAGCAGCACAACAAACAATAGTAATAATGGCATGGAGGGACTTGCTCCATCACTAAGGAGACTTTTTCTGTAGTTTGCTTGTGTCTCTGTACATCTCACACAATGACAGCATAGAGAAAGAGCAATCTCTAAGCAAGCCTGTCAGACTGACAGCTTCTTACTTCTATTCACTTCAGGGCAGTCACATGCCAAATATTGAAAAGAGTGCTTTAAAAATACCAAAATGAGCAATCACATCTGTAAGGCACCAAAAGCAAAGACAGTAAACAAACCAAAACAAAGCAGAACACATCAAGGGTGGTAGATTTTAGTGTCTGTTCCCCTTAAGGTATAAAACATTTGATAAATGATTGGCACATAAGATTGAATTAAAAGGAGAAGCTTAATTATTTGCATCCTTTGAAAACTGTTTGCCATACATAAGCCTGGGGAAGTTACATAACTGTCATCCAGAGTTCTACATTCGAGTAGTTGTCAAGTAAGTTTAGCAAAATCATGTTTCTTAATATTTCTGTAAGTACTTCACAATGCTATAAAAAGGCAACAAGCCTCTCTATACTTCAAGATCATAGATGTTTACCTCTGAAGTCTACACACAGCAACCTGAATACCTAAAAAACAGGTCACAATGAATACAATTAATTTTCTTGCAGTTCAACTCTTGAATTTGTTTGAGTTTGTTGAATTTGTCTTGAGTTTGTTTTTTCTCTCTTCTGCTACATTTTATTTCATTTTACTATCAGTTTGTTTCAATTTATTAATGCATCTTAAGTTTCTTAATTAGAGTTAATTTTAACTACTTCCCCTGTTTTAGGTTACATATATATATGTAACTAGGCATTTGAGACTGATTTCTTCTAGTGAGTGTTTGGCTTCTCTTTAGTAGAACATCAGTATCTGTGTCTTTTTTAGTCTCCACCACCTCAGTCATATGGAGAGTGTGGGCCCTAAGAGACCAAGGCAACGTCCACCAAGTCTGTGTGTCAGAATTCAGCAAATCTAGGTATCACCTCTCCCTCTGTTGCCTCTGGATTTCAGTCTCAGGATTATTTTGCATTTAAAAGTCCTTTGGTCTTTTTGGAAAGGTATCACATGGAAGAGGTCTAGATGGATCTGCCTCAGAGCACTGGCCAGCATTTTTCCCCTCTGTTTCTCTCAGCTGTCATGCTCATTGTGGTGCTGCACTTCCACACAAGGAGGTGTTTGTTCAGATGTGCCACATGTCTGTGTGCTGTTCCCCCAGAGAAGGTCCTCTGTCCTTGTATTGTCTCTGGGAACCTACCCTGCAGTGCCACCACCCAGCACTCTGTAGTCCACCCTCTGTCTCCTGTGTGGAAGCTCTGTAGGTGTTCAGCTCCTGAATTTTGATGTGGGTCTTTGTAGTCATTAATCTCTTGGTCAAGCCCTCCTGAGTGCGACTGCTTCCAGATATACCCAGAGCTTCTTGAAAATCACATGCTGCTCACACACCTTGTGTCTTACACATCAAAATGTCAGACTGAACTCCTTCCTCGATGCAAACACCTTGGGCACTTTGGGGCATAGTGAGGTGTTGGAGATGCTTTCTCTCAGCCAGCAGAAGGGCTGTGTGTTTTGCATCCTCACAAAGCCCAGGAGTATGGTAGGTAACAAGTTGCTAACATTTATTATAGTTGCTTTTGCTGGTTTAGATGCTGAATCCAGGCCCAAAGGAAATTAAATACTGCCAACACTGAAGCGGGGCTGAAGATGAGAATTTACATTTGTAAACCTGGGTTTTGTTTTGGGCAATGCTTGTTTTATTTTCAGGACTTGTTTACATCTAACAGATGAATGCTGGATGAATTTTCTAATGGGGAAAAATGTACTATTTGAAATGAGCAAAACCAAACAAGAAACCTACCTTTGAGCTAGCCTGTCAAGTTTCAGCAAAACATTTCTTGCATCTAACAGTTTTATGTTGTACAAGCAGAGTTCGTGAAGAGCAAAGACAGGCAATTTGGTAGATCTATTGTCTGTAAAATACAGTTTGTGTGACTAAGGAAAGAAATATACTTTAATCTAATAATGAATTTATTTCTGTATAAAGACCATTCTAAAGCTTTTATTTTCGAAACTTCTGGGTTAGTTATATCAGAATGTATTACAAAAAAGTTCAAATAAACTTCATCTATTTCCTCACTATCTTCTGTGTCTACTCTGCTATAATTAAAGTACGAATTAAGTGCAGGGAGTAACTGAAATAGCAGTTGAATTTAAAAAGTAGTGGCAAGAAACTAAGTTGTGTGTCAAATCTCTTTAGATCTTAAGTTACTAATATTGAAAATCCTGTAGGTCACGTTTACTTTTATAAAATTACCATGCAAAAACATCAGTAGGCAAAATACAATCTGCATAATTGAAGCAAGTTAAATGATAGGAAGAATGCCTTGAACAAATAGCTATGAGGGACATGTACTTATACATAACCATTAGTGTAACTCTGTGAGTCTCCTTAGACTTAATTACAGCGCTGCAGAACTGCGCACAGAAGCTGTGAGATGTGAAAAGAGACATTTTGCATATTGCTGTAGGGATCACGGTATTTATGCAAGACACTGACATGGCTTTACTCTGAAGGGCTAATTGAGACAATTGGGTTTGACTACGCTGCCAATGTGGAAACCAAGGAAGCAGAACAATGGCAAGTGCCGTAGGACTGCTCAGCGATCTGAGCTGTCATCTGCTCTGATTTGCACATGTCATATCAAAATCATATCATTCTGGCATTTTGCTCCAAACTTTTAATTCGATGAAACGCGCACACACCCAACCCCAAATCTCATCAGAATATTTTAATTTCACCACAAATAAAACATTGCACAATCCTGTCAGCAAGCCTGGAAAAAAGCAACCATAAACTCTTGCTACCCCAAAACACCTAGCTGGGAAAGAGTTAGAACTTGCTGTTAATATCACTTAGATTAACGTAAATCTTAAGAGATTCTGTGACATCTACTGGTGTTCCTCTGGTGAAGAGCTGGTCAGGTACAAAACTTGGGTGTACAATTTATCAAACCCACTAAAGACAGGGTAGTTTTGCAAATAGTGGAGTAAAAAAGATAATTTTGTAAACTGAAACATAAAAGGTTCTCTCCATGCTCTGTTTTTCCAAACTGTTACACATACATATTATTGTCTTTTTGCGAATATTAAAAAGGAATGTTATATGTATAATGTTGGAAAGCTTTGCTGTATGAAACTTAGAAATAGTGGTGTAATACATACATATATATATATATATATTTTTTTTTTTTTAGGCTGTAGTATGGTATCAAAATAAAGACTCCTTCTGTTCATATAACCCAGAGAATGAAAAGATAGTCAGAACCCCCCCTGCATTCTTAGATTATTTTATCCAGCTGAAGACAGTGGTGACCAGAGCTCCAGGGGAGGAATTTATTCAACCTCTGTTATTGGGGAACGTGAGACTGCAAGGAGCCACAAGAAAGATTGATCTGCTGGGGACAGGGGGGAGTTGAAGCTAAACAAAGGAACATCAAAACTTAAGAGGGATGTTTGAGTCATGCATAAGAATTTAAGACTATGCATGAGATCAGTGGTTTTAAGGGCCAATCCTCTGTTAGTAAGGCGTGCTATTGGCTGAATGCTGAGGCACCCGGCCATACTTGTTCATTTTACTTTATTTCTGTCTCCTAATTGTCTTTTATTAAACTTCTTAAATTTTATAAAAAAACCTGTGAGCCTCGTTTTTCACAAAGCAGAATTGTTTTTCTAGTAATTGCTAAATGGACTCATTCTCTAAAGGCAATAGCAAGGCCTCCAACACCCTCCCCCAGCACTGCTCTGTGCCCCTGTGGTGTCCCTGCCACAGCAGAGCTGGTGGCTGGAAGGAAGCACTTGGCACTTGTGAGATCACATTGGGAAATTGCTTCACAGAGAGAGAGAAAAATATGTTAAAAAAAACATTTCTAGGGTAGAAGAAGAAGCTGGAACTGTGAAGTCCAGGGAGATGAAAGAAACTCAATTTGTACAAAATGATTGAGCACCTCAAGAAGATGAGCGTATTTCCTAGCAAAAACATGTGCCAACAATTATCACTACACTGAACTGAAAATTTACCTTATACTGGATATCTGACTTTTTGTAGAGATGGGAAGGAAAGTACTGATTTTTTTATTTTTTCCACTGCATTATGGTAGGAATTCTGACTTTTCAGTCTGGAGGAATATTAGTGATTTAGAAGGAAATATCAAAAAAAAAAAATCTCTAAAAGCTATGATCAAGTTTTCTTAATCTAGAAAGAATCAAGAAACAGATGAAAAAGAAATTAAAGCCTTTTTGTGTTGGAGAACCACATCTAAAATATTTTAAAAGACATTTTAAAGAAATGTTCTCCACTGCCTGCTATAAATCCTCTGTCTGGGCGGTTGTAAAATCTTCCTGTGATTGCTAGATTGGAAAACAATATGAATAATTCCAAGACGCTGAGTGATATTAAATTTTAATCATAAACCAATATCAGCACTGTAATAAATTTTAAAGGATGGTATTCGATTTCTATATCTTATTTCATTGTACTGCTATAAGAAATGATGTTATTTAATGAGAAGTACTTTATGAAGAGCATGAATTCAGCACTCTGGGTCCTGTAGTGCCAGTATTGGATTAGAGCACATCACTACTTTGGATAGATGGCTGTTCCACAGGCAAGGCCCAGTTTTTGGGGAGAGCTTCTCCCAAGCATAGTGAGGAGAGGCCAGGCCCCAGAGAACTTTGTGTAAGAGAGGAAAGCTGAGATCAGAGGTAGTGAAGTGTACTGCTAACAAATGATGCTGTCAAATACAATTTCTTCATGCATGTACAGGTGTACACCACATGCTGATATTTCTGGGGTTTCTGACTGGGGGAGTTGTAAATGCTCCTGGTCTTTGGTAGTGCTTGTCATGGTCCCAAGCCTGAATGCTTCATCTTTCCAGGTAATTTTAAGACCTTTCAGGTATTGATCCATGTTTTTCTGCCAGCTGCGTTTTCAGGAAGTGTGCATAGTGCTTGCAGGTTTTTTACAAAGTTTTCCAAAGATGATTTACACAACGAAGCACAAATTTTATAGGCTTCTAATTAGATCTCACATAGGCTTGCAGTTTGGGAGGCTGCAAATGGCTGCTGGGAAGTCCTGGCTGCTGCTTGTTTCTTTCCAGCTAGAGGAACCAAATTCACTCAGGAATAAATTCCATGGATTTTAGGAGACTTGGAAAAGCAATTAGTGTGTTCTGATTTATTTATGATACTTGTCAGACATTTATGCAATGTGAAATCAGATCAGTGTGGTGTACATCAGATCTGGGTTGCACGCTCTAGTTACGCAATGTTACTTGCTCCACACATACAACCAAAGCCTTCAGTACAGCACTGACTGTAGGAGCAGACACAGCACACTTGATTTTATCTGTGGTTCTATAAAAAAAGTATTCCCAGGCTGTATGTCTGCAGATAAAATCATATTTCAAGTTAAGGTATGCATCCAGCTTTTTATGGTAACCCTAAATTCTGTACCTCACTCTGGTCATTGCAGTGATCTGCAGAGGTTTCCCCAGTGGTACTCAGTATATCAGACTCCACTCTTCAGAACCCACTGGAACTGGAAACTTGGTGCTTTATGGGGCTGCAGCAGGAGGTTTTTGTTTGAAGCACTCGAGCCTTTCTAATTGTTCAGAATGAAATAATGTACAGATCTGTAGAACAAGGGAAGTTTTCAATCATTCTTGATTCTGACCAGAGAAGGCTGTTTCATGAAATGTTACAAGTCAAGCTCTTCTGTTTTAGCAAGAATCATTTATGCATATATTTATTATTGTTTTCCAAAAAGCTTAGATTTATTTCTCCAAATAGAGTTTAATAGGACGAATAGAGATTTTCATCAAGATGTTTTCTGTGGAAACTCAACCCCTTCAGCTATAAATCACTCCTCAAAAAATATGCAATTGCTCTTTTATACTGAGATAGAGGATGTTATTTGCTCACAGTTACACTAAAGATCATCAGTAACTGATGCCATAGAGGCTCAGTTAAGATGTAAATGTAAAGTGTCACTAGCAAAATTCACAGGCTGATCTTTATGGGACACACTAGCATTCCCAAGTTTTAAAACAGTGCTTCAGAGTATGAGTCACCAAGCTTACCCTGAAGCCCCATCCTGCTAAGTACATGCGGATGTTTAAAAATCTGACTGGCCGTGGCCCTGAGCATCCTACTTTGAGCAGGGTGGCTGGATTTTCCAATTTCCAGAGGCACCTGCCAATTTCAGCTGCTCTTTGACTCTGCAGATTCTCAAAACTTGCCCTTCTGGTGCCATTCTCTCCTTGTAAGAAAGGTCTCGTGGCAAGTTACATAAACTTGAATTACAGGAAAGATTCTATTTAACCTATTTTCAGCAAGTGACTTGAACTGAATTTTCTCTTGGAGGATATGCTATAGCTACCTATGCAGTGGCTTTGTTAATTAAAAAAAGTAATCTTCCGTGAAGGTTCTTGAGCTGCAGTCATCTTAAAGGGAATATTATATATGCAGTAGCATCCAAGTGATCTTGCCAAAGCTGGACAGCAATTCCTCTGCCTGATGGAACACTCCATCATGAGAACAAGGGGACAGATTCTGCACTGTTTTGCACCTGGCAGAACTCCATTGACTTCATTAGGTGGATTTGTCCTGAGTGTTGAAGATTTTCAGATGTTACAGGAATATGACACAGATGTGAAAAATTAAAATACAAAAAGCTACTAGCTCTTGTCCTCTAAAAACAAAGTGATAATGCTGGGGGTTTATATTCTGAATGCAGGAAGCTGAATTTGCTTAATTAACCCCAAGCTTGGATTAGGATAGTGAAAGTGAATAGTGATTAGGAAAGTGAATAGTGAATTTTGGAATTCTTTTTTGAGTGACAATAGTTTTGAAATTACTTGCAACCAGGAATTTTTTAATTACATTTGGAGCAAGTACGGTTTGTTTTCTATCA